TTCTCAAATTGATGAAATTTACATCAAATATTACCAAAATGATGCCTATTTTAAAAATATTACGAGAATGGAGAAGTCGTGTTATGCAACATTAATACGTACTAAAAATTTTCGTACTATAATGAGTTTTATATATATATATATATATATATATATATATATATATATATATATATATATATATATTGTGCTACATATGCTATTTTTAGTTTTTTAAAATATTAAAGTCTAGATGACACAGATTATTTATATTTTTTTTAATTTATGTTTAATTTTTTTTAATATTAGTACGACTTCAGTTTTTTTAATTTAATTATAAAATATTATAAGTAAAAAAATATAATAGTAATAATTTATATATAAAATAATATATAAAATAATATAATACAAAGTTAAATTGAAAATAATTTAATATTCTTCTCAATCATCTAGATCTTTTATTTTTTTGGATATATATCTCATCACTATCATCATATTTCTCTTTTTGAATTTAATTTTGAGGTTCCATTGGCTGATAATAATTAATGGATCCAACTTGATGATATGACGAGTGGTATGATGAAAGAGATAGCAAAAATATTTCACCAAGAACATATCAAATTAAACATGTAAGGAACATATTCTTCGAAATAACTTACCAAATCGATTTTGGAAACGATCCATAAAATATGAAACATATTAAACACTAGACTGATCAACTTGTTTATAACTTCAACGAGACAACTTATTGATAACTAGATGAACTAATATGTAAATAAGTTGGTTGAAGTGTCTAGTGTTGTTATTCTTCGTGTGGTGCATGATACTAATAAAAAAATTATAAAATTAATTTTTGTGTGAAAAATTATAAATAATTAAAATAAATAATATTTCATACTTGTTTTTATCGTATGTAACTTGTTCTTATTGAGTGAAAATACGTCTTCTAGTGTAGTGAAGAAGTTTAACCAATGATTTTAAAAGGACAAAATAGTATATTATTATCAAATGAATATAAAAGGTGAATGAATATGAAAAGACAATAGATGAGAATGATAAATATGCAAATAGATGTATTTAATTATTATTAAATTTTTATGACCAAAACCGTAAATAGATATATAAATTAAAAGACTTTGGGGGTTATGACCCCGTTATCCTCTAAAAACTCAGCCACTAATATAGTAAGTTCAAAATATCATTCCATATAGGTTTTCATACAAATGTCTATTTCGTGGAATTATTAATCTTTAATTAGTCAATTATGTCCATCATACTATAATGTAATCAACTGTTTTTTATATTGTGACCAACATGTGTATATTCTACCTCTCGTATCTACTCTCTGAAGTTCATTTAGATTTATTAGACCATGAGGAATAGTTTGTCGTATACTAAAGCTGTCTCAACAATTATAAATCAAGTAAGATGTATAATAAAACGAAATAAGAGAAATTTCAACATTTATTACTCATTACATGACACTTGGGATCCATATAAATTTCATAATAAAGTAAGAGTATATTATTTAAAAGTAAAATATATATATAAGAATAACAAATATATTGTTCTAATACATTTTTTGTTGTAGTTCATTTAACATGTATCATATTACATGTACAACATATATAAGGGTATTTGACCTCCGTTCAAGTTTCGATCACCTAAGATAAAAAAAGTATATTGTAATTTCATGTATATTATATGGTATAAAAAATTAAGGTTATATATTTTTGTTGGAAAAAAACATCACTTAAATCTTCAACAAATGGACAAAGCATATAATTTGGTCTTATGTCAAATATTAAAGAAATAACATATCATTTTCAATATTTTTTTTATGAGGATCAACTTCATTGTCCAAAGTTCGTTAAAGTGAATCAAGCACAACAAATTCTGGATGTAAAAGATATATCAAGTACAATTTAAAAACTGAAGTATATTGCATCAATTGAAAAAGTAGGACAAAATCTTTGAAAGTTACAATTATTTATCCAATGAAAAAGTAACAAATGTGACTTTTTTATCTCCACTTCACTGTAGATGTTGTTATTGAGTGATGATTGATATCAATATTTAAAATTTTCTACAATAATCAAAAACTTGTTTAATATATAAGACTCGAGGAATTGATTTTTTTGTTAATAATATCATGTGACATCTTGAAGGAAATAGTCTATCCTTCTTCTCCCATTTGACTTTCATGACATGAAACATAATAAAGACATGTGAAGATGAATATATTAATTAACCCACATTTTTATAAAAAATAAAATTATTAAGATAAATATATTTAGTAAAATATTATATACAATAAATAATAATATAATAATATACATGATATTATAATAAGTGAATATAATAATTAATTACATATCATGCTGAATAATTATACAATAAGTAAATATTAATTATATAATAAATAATGCTACATAATTATACAATAAATAATTATACAGTACATAATTTATAGATAAATAATAAATATACATAATAATTATATACGAAATAATTATACAGTAGATATAATAAATAATTTATGCACTAAATAATTGTAAATAATTATATAAATGCAGTAAATAAAAATAATAATTATAATAAATAAATATATACATACTAAATAAATACAGTAAATAAATATAATAAATAATATTGTACTAAATAAATAATAATTATATATACCATAACTTATATCATAATTTATATATAATAACAATTTATATACAATAAACAATTCATAAATCAATGGCAATAAATACTTCATAAATCAATGAGAATAAATTTAGCCCCGCTGTTGGAATGTTAATAATACAAACAATCCAATATATAAACAAAAATATTGGCAGTGTATTAAAAATATGAACAGAACAATAATATTTATAAAATATTAATAATATTTACAAAATATTAACCAATGTAACAAGGAACAGAAAAATAGATTGAAAAGGACTAAAAGCTGCAAATTTTCTGAAGGCCATATAGGAAATTGATAATCAAGACAAGAGCTTCACTGAACAGGAAAGACTGATAGAAATGTAATAAGAATGGAATGGAGAGTAGTATATAGATATGAGGAAGATAATTAGTTTTAAATAATTTATTATTTGTGTAGATATTATTAATACAAAATAAATATTTATATATTTTTTCAGTTAATATAAAATAATATATAGGAAGATATTTTATTAGTATTTTAATAAATTTAATTATTTGGATATATATTATCGATAAAAAATAATATTGAATATTTTAAATTAATTTAATTATTATTTAATTTATTTATTTACTAATAATTAAATTAATTTAAAATATTGAAATATCTAAATTCAATGTAATAATAACATATCTTCTAATATATTGTTTATATTACCAATATCCACACAAAAAATAAATAATTTTAAAAAAAATTTAGAATTGTAAATTTATACATACTTTTAATGAAAAAAAAATAATTACAAACTGATTTTATTAATCTGAAGATGTAAAATATAAAAATGATTTAATACTATCAAATATATATAAAAGTCATTATAAATTATTTTAAGTAATTTATTAATATATATATATATATACACACATAAAATCGATTGAATTTCAATCATTATATATAGATCTCAACCTATCCGACGACTAGTCGCAAATAAATTTTTTATATATTTTTTTAAAATATTATATTTATATATTAAAATATTGTAATTATAATTTAATTTTATTAATATTTATAATTTAAATTATAATATATTTATATATTTTAATAATATAAAATAAAAATATATGATATTTGTTATAATATTTTTTGTTTTAATTTTATTATATAAATATTTGTTTAAGAAAATCTCGTCATAAATTCTCATAAATTCTCATTTTTCAGGTTAAATGAATCACTTTAATAATGAGTTATTTAAGTAAACTAGTATTATTTTTTTTAAACTTTATATTATGTTATGATTTGTATATTTTATTTATGTACCTGATTTATTTAATTTATAATTTAAAAACAATTTTATAATTTATAATTTGATTAACATAATATTTATTTGCATTGTAAAGTGTGTTATTTAAATAAAAAATAATAATTGTGAAAATAATATTTTTGTAAAATAGAAAAATTACCCTAATATTTTACATTATTTTAAAAAACTAAATGACATATGTTAACTCAATTTAATTTATATTAGAAGAAAAAAGAAACTATTTTTGAAAAAAAAACATTGATATTAACTGAATTAACTTTATTCGAATCGAATCTGATAATAAGCAAATTTGACTAACCAAAGATCCAAATAGTGAGTTCTAAGCCATACGTTAAATCAATTGAAGTCATATTTTCTTCAAATTTTAGTCTAGCCTAATTTTTACTTGAGATTAATTAAGTGTGACTTTAGATAACTTATATTTTCTTCAAATCTCTAACTGCGAATCTTTATTTTAAATTTAAGTCAAACTTCTCTATCCATTAATTAAAAAAAAAAAAAAAAACACTTCAGGATCTCTTCATGACAAATTCTGAGGTAAAAGAAAGGACATGTTACATTATAGATAAAGCCTGAACCGGAACAGGAACATATGTATAAACCGGAAATACAAAACTATATACCATGCTCTGTATTACAAATTTGCAACCTACATAGTTAAATTACTACATCATTATGACCATGCTTATGTATGACTTAAGATCCTATGTTACCAAACGAACGCCAAGGGAAGAGAGGGCTATATACAACATATGAACAATTTGGACCCGACCGAACAGAAACATGAAAAATCTCGCTTGATCATATAAAAAAGCTGGGGCGAGCATCTAGGTCCTGCACTTTCAAAGCTGGTAATTCAAGAGCCATATAATATTAAGCTCTTCATCTTGTGTAAGAGTTTCAAGAACACACTCCTGCTACCTGAAATTGCACCATGCACACAATGTCAAATGCAACATTAAGGACCAGATTGTTCAAAACTAAAACATTATGAAGCTGGAGAAGAAGATTACCATTACAAGGAACTACTCCACTAGTGAGATAACTTCAACTAGTTTGTTCCACCAATCCACTTGCAGATCCAAGAGACCAATCTGTTGGTTTTGTAATCAAATCCTCCAATTCAAGATAGATATTCGAGTCATTCACATCTAGTTCTTCATCAACTATAGAATTTTCCCGCATTAGTTTTTCTGACATAACATGGTAGGCAGAAGATGCATCTGGCGCATTTGGTCTAGAACAACCATGTGGCCTTAACCCTTGCACAGGGTTACATAAATCATCTTCCAAAGGAGAGGGAGTTGGGTGCTCCATCCTGCTGATGTTCACAGTTTCAGACAGAAATCCATCAAGCTCGGATTGCAATGAAGGGAATTGTTTATGACTTTGGTGTCTATAATCAACATTAGGGGTTGTCTCCATGGTCTTAGGGAAGGGTACATGGCAGGGGTTTCCCATCAATCTAGGCCTCTTAACCATGTCATTACCATCAAGCTCTCTTTTTCTCCTAATCTTTTGGATTAATTGCTCAACAAACGCGGGCCTTCTAGCCAATCTGGTGAGGAAAAACATCATCTGATACTGCTTCATCTCTGCACACCGAACTCTCTCCTGAACATTTGTGAGCTGAACATGCGAATTCTCTTGCTGCTGCCTCAGCTTCAGAATTTCCACCTTCAAAATGTTCTGGTCCTTCTTCAGTTTCTCCACTTCAGCCTCCACCCCTGACTTCATCATATTGAAAGCTCCCTGATGCAGTCTGTTGTACTTACTCCTCCTCCTTATGTTCTTCAGCAAATACTTCTTCCCTCCTTGGAATCCTTCATTGGCAAACTCCCAACGGTCCGAATCAACCTTCCTAAAACCCTGTACCCATAAAAACCATGAATCCTTCATTTACGTCACAACAATGATATTATTTACAAATATAGACGAATCCAATCATTTCACGCAGAACCCTTACTTTGTATGCGATCAGACTAAAGAATAAAACATCATCAGACTAAAAGATTGAATGTTACAAGAAACTCATCAAACTGATTATTAAAATTCTGAAATCAAATTATTAATCCAATTTTTTATTTACACAGATCACAAATCTCTCGTGTCACAGTTAGGCGTTCAAACTTCATACTCATAAAATTATTAATTAAGAATAATCTCGTGTCAGTTGATCTAATCAAAGGTCATTTTATAGATTTGTATATTCACCTAAATCTTCAAAATTAAAAAAAAAAAAACATATAATAGATAATCAAGGCTAATTTGATGTATTATAGCGTGAGAATTATTTTTCAGAAATAGAAGGACAAAGAGATACAAGAGAAGGTTGAGGTTAGAGAAAACTAAGGAGACATAAGAAAAGATTAAGATTGTGGAAAATTTGACTGACATAGGTGTTGAGCTGGCGAACGAAGCTGGAGAAATTGCTGTGCTTGAAGTATTTGGGAAGAAGGGTTTTGGAGAATTCGTGAGAGTCCCAAACCACGAAACTATCGCGAGTTTGGCTCCACGACACTATGGGGTCGGTGCGAGGGTCCTCCACCATTTCGAAGGTCTTCTTGAGGAACGGTGGGGGACCCATCTCGTGCAACCCTTCCATGGGTTTGGGCATCGTATCCATCAAACCGTTGACGGCGCCGTCATCCACCTCTTCTTTCACGTGAACCGTCGTTGCCTCTTCCGTCACTCCGGATTCCTTGCTCTCGCTCAAAACGTCGTCGTGGCGATCGCTTTCACTGTCGTCGAACATCTCCGCTTTCACTCTTGTCACTTCTTCTCCCATGGCACTGATTTGAAGTTTGAACTCTCCTTTTGCTTTCGCAATTGTTGAATAGTTGCTATGGAGTGTGAGGAGGAACTAATTAAAGTGCTCTGTTTTCACACAAGTGTCTTGTGATGTGTTTTCCATTTATAGAAGATGAAAAAAAGTATTTTAATTAGAAAAAGAAAAGAAGGTGATGGAGTAGCGTATCTTTGTGACTGTCCATTTTAGGAAACTCCGGTGGACAGCCACGTTTTCATGCCTCTTACTTTCTTGCCACTTGTACGGAAATGGTCTTGCTACGGTCCACATCAAATCTATTTTTGGAACATCAAAATCACCTTATGGGCTTATCCTCTCACGTCTCTTCGCTTACATTTCTTTTATCACAGAGTAAACAAGACATCAACCAAAACAATTCATAATTAACCACCAAAAAAAAAAGGTATATTTTGTAAGGAAATCTGTTATCAGAATAAAATTATAGAATTTATAAAAAGTTCAACCATACTAATTTTAAACGTACAAAATGATACTGATAGATGTTTTTTATTATTAATATTATTTATAGGCTGATATTTTGTGTTTTGTTTTACTGCACGTGCTTATTTATTAAACAAGAGAACAAAAATACCGAAAGAGTGGAGATAGATAAATGTAACGGTTACGGTCCATGCGGTTGGGTTAGTGCATCAGTGTTGTCGGTCATCACCTGCATGCATGACAAGTGTTGTCTCTGCTTATATTTTTGTAACAGCTTTATCCAGTTTGATAAATATTCGTTATTACCACTAATAAAAAATATTAACCGATAAATACGGTTAACCTATTAAAACCGTAACGGCGTATAAGCACCGCTTAAAAAGGATAAGGAGATGGCTGGGCGCCGAACGCACCAAATAGAATGAAGTGAAAACGGTGGTGGCGGCCACATGCAACGACGTAAGAGCCATGTCGTTTCATGCGATTGTTGTTGTTATCTGTAGATATATTAGTAATTGGTGGACTTTATTGCGATTAACGTGGCAGGTATATGAGTTACGAGTTCTGACTTTTTGGCAACATAAAAACGTGGCTGAACCTTAGCCTCGTAATATTTGTGGCTGGATCTATCATATAACAAAACTGGGAATGGAATTAGATGGTTGGCATAACGAAGGGGAACCCTTTTTCTTGTGTATGATAAAGGACCCACTTTTTCTTGTTTTCCCAGATTTCATCAGGTTCCACAGACTGGTGATTAGCATTGCCAATCGGTCACACGAGAAACTGAGACATAGCTTCATATCGTGTAAGGCAGAGGGTACAGTGCTTAATTCGCACTGTGCCATTCGAAGAAAGATGTGCAAATGTCAAAATCTTCCTGTCATCTACAACATGACACAAACTGCATAATCAAGATAAAGACTAATGATACATCTAATTAAATGAATTTTGAAATTAAAGACAGTTTAACCCTAAATAAGTATGGGAATCTCCATATACATCTTACATTGCCATGGTATCTAACCTATCTTTTCCACAGAAAATCAATTAAAGCCAAAAGTTAATTACGTCACTCTCCTTTATTTCAATCCCACCTCTTCAAAATTGTACTAGTCATCAATTTAGCAAAAATACTAGTCCAAAATTTTAAAGTTTAATTACTTGACTTATAAAATAGAGTGGGTATTAAATTGTATACATATAAAAAAATTTAATACGTTTTTAATCCGCATAAATTCATGATTTTTTTATTTTGATTCTTATAACTTTCTTATATTTTTTTACCCTATAGAATTCTAAACCATTTTTAGTTCTTATCAAGTGCGAATTTTAGTTTTTCTATATAATTTTTTTTCTCCACATTTGTTAATAGTTATTTTATCTTTGATATTCATTTAGGGTAAACGAATAAAAATCATTTTGTGAATTTTAAAAGTTTTTTTATACGATGCATATCAAAATTATATTATAAAACTAATATATATATATATATATATATATATATATATATTGTGTAACATGATATTAGTAGTCTTGAATGATTATTTAATTTTATATTCAATACATAAGTACTTCACTAGTGTTATATAATATTAGAGTTTAAAGTTGAACATTTATATTTTTAAGAAAATAACCTATATAAACTAAAATGAAAAATCGATCATTTTACAGCGACTTTAATATATATATATATATATATATATATATATATATATATATATATATATATATTAAAGTCATATAAATAATAACATTTTTATAATTTATATATGATGATGTAATAAAATAAAATAAAGAAAAAAATATGAATATAAATTTTGTCACGACTTTTAACTTTCGCTTGGTATGATAACAAAAATATACAAACAGTAGTTTACTTTAGAGTCTTCATCGTAAGTATGGTATTTTATTCAATTAAGGTTATTTCTATCTAGAAATCATACTTGTTGAAGAAAAATATTCTAAACTACTTGACTTAGAACAAAAAATTAGGATCGTTACTAACTTTGTAAGACACTACTACATTAACTCTCTTTAACAACATTTACCTACTTACATTTATTAAAAACGTTATAATAAGTTGTTATTCTAACACTTCCTTTTTTTTTTTAAAAAAACGTTATAATAAGTTGTTATTCTAACACTTCCTTTTTTTTTTTTTTAAAACGGAATTAACATGTTTAAGTTTTTTTTTAAATGATTAAATTTTCACGTATTCACAGTTATTTTATTTATAAATTTTTACACCATTTTATATCTTTTTAACACAAGCTTCTTCTTTTTTTTCTATCAAAGGTCGAGGTTCAAAACACATTTCAATTAGATCTTGCATTTATGTTTTTAAAAGATTCAATTGTCCTTTCCACCATTGTTTTGAAAAATCTTGGGATAAATCCATGAGTAATGTAAATTTCTGTTTTTTTTTTTTTTGCGTAATTATTTCGTGTATATGCATATGTATGATGTTGGTTGGTGCACTTAAAGTGTTTGATAAATGTTCTAATTGACAATTCTCGTATCAGCACTCCTGTATGCAATGTTAAATCAATCTTATTAGTCACTAAAAATCGTCACTAGTGGGAATTGGATTCCTTATATAACACATGAAACAAATTATTGGATACGGATATACTCTGTTGACTATTTTAAAAAATAGTGCACATGGAAACTGAAACAACAGTTAGGAATATACTTGAGTCCAGCTAGAACTTAGGGAGATTTTATGCTCTAGTGATGAATATACTCTCTTCATTGAAGTTGAAATGAATGGAATTTGTTCTGGAAATACAATTGGTGAAATTTTCATAAATTAATATGAATTTTAGTTTCATTCTACCTGACTTTAACTTAAGTGGAAAACAGGAAAGCTAAATTTTGTATTAATCAATATGTCTGGTTCCTGTTAGAGATGTCACTATAAATTCAGCTTTTTTAGAAAACTGAATGAAAGAAGTTTACATGAATTGTTTCCTACCTAAAATTTAACCATATTCAGCACAGACAAAATAATTGAAGTAATAAACAGATCAGGTGCTGTGATTAAATCCCCTGAGATGAATATAAACTAAAAGCAATTTCTACACCAAAGGAAACACTACAAAAATCTGAAAATATAATAAAATCTTGCGCACCTAAAATCTTCTTAAAAAAGGTAGAACTAAACATGTTAAAACTATTAAAATATAAAATAGTTTAAATCTATAAAAAGAAAGCAAGTAGCTTTTTAAAACTTTAATTGCATAGTTAAAGGGGAGCATGGAAGCCATCTTCTGTTCTAGTTCAGGGCAAAGGAATTGAGGAATTATGAAATTTTGCTATACTTGTAAATTATGATGCATCGGATCTATGATTTGGAAAGATTACTGGTGTAAAATAATATTGTTTAAGATATTTGTACAAATTTGATAGAAAATTTATATATGTTATTTTCTAAAATATTAAATTCACCATTATATTATATATTTTAATCAAATCTATAACTATATACAAATCCAGGTAACACAAATAGTAACTTTCTACACGTGTAATCACCACAATTTTTTTCAAAAAAATCATAAACTAATTTTTTACAAAACATACCTATTTTGTACAAAAAGACAAACCGCTTCTTTGGGCCACAACAATACTGCAAGCCCATGCTTCTCCTCAGCCCAAATACTCTCCGAATATCTCATATGCTCTCATATGCTCCTTTGCGCCGTTCTGTTGCAAGTCTTCTTGCTCTGCACATTTTCTTCGCTCTGCACGTCTTCTTTGCTTGCAATCTTTCCTATTTTATGCAAGATCGGTGTCTCAAAAGAAGCATGAAATCTCTTTTGTTGCACGTCTTCCCTCAAGTAGTATTTCCATCTGCATGTTCAGATAAGTTATATTTTTTATCATGATTAGAGTTCAATATTGTCTTCTTTGACCGTCATTAGGGTTGTATCTAAGGTTTTGCGTTTAAATGTTACCGATTTTGTAAAAAAGGTTACTGATTTGCTTTGATCTAAGGTTTTTAAATTTAAAAGTTACCGATTTTGGAAAAAATGTTACTGATTAGCTTTGATCTAAGGTTTTTGAATTTAAAAGTTACCGATTTTCAATCTTTATGTTGTTTACCTTCAAGAGCGAAGTTGAAATTTTTTTCATGAAAAAAGTTTGCTTTTTTATCATCATTAGAGTTCAATATTGTCTTCTTTGACCGTCATTAGGGTTGTACATCTGTTTATACCTATTTCAGTATAGTTTTATGTAATTTTGCTTATTGATTTGCATTTAGCCCAAGCTGGAGGTATAAAAATTGTTGTTTTTTACATCATGACGAAATACAGGATGTCGAGATACATGAAAATGGTAATATCTTCCCTTTACAAAAGTTTTAATTCAGATTACTTTAATATTGTCAACATTTCAAATTTCAAATTTCAAATTTCAAATTTCAAATTTCAAATTTCAAATTTCAAATTTCAAATTCTAGAATACAGACAACATTTCCCTCTTTCCACCATGCTTATAAATATACATCTGTGATGATAATATTTCTACGTTGAGTG